AATTGAGAGCATCCTGTCGGGCTGTATCACCGCCTGGTACGGCAACTGCACCGCCCACAACCGCAGGGCTCTCCAGAGGGTGGTGCGGTCTGCACAACGCATCACTGGGGGCAAACTACCCGCCCTACAGGACACCTACAGCACCCGATGTCACAGGACGGCCAAAAAGATAATCAAGGACAACTACCACCCGAGTCACTGCCTGTTCACCCTGCTACCATCCAGAAGGCGAGGTCAGTACAGGTGCATCAAAGCTGGGACCGAGAGACTGAAAAACAGCTTCTATCTCAAGGCCATCAGACTGTTAAATAGTCACCACTAGCACAGAGAGGCTGCTGCCTACATACAGACTTGAAAATCACTGGCCACTTTAATAAATGGAACACCAGTCACTTTAATAATGCCACTTTAATAATGTTTACATATCTTGCATTACCCATCTCATATGTGTATACTGTATTCTATACTATCTATTGCATCTTAGACTATGCCACTCTGATAATGACATTGCTCATCCATATATGTGTCACGCCCTGGCCTTGAGAGCCCGGTTTTCTTCAGTCGGTTTGGTCAGGGTGTGAATTTCTATGTGTATGATCTAGTTATTGTAGTTCTATGTTGGCCGGGTGTGGTTCCCAATCAGAGGCAGCTGTCGATCGTTGTCTCTGATTGGGGATCATACTTAGGCAGCCATTTTGCCTACCTTTAGTTGTGGGATCTTGTTTCTGTGGGTTTGGCTTGTTTGATGTTAGCCTTTTGAACTTCACGGTGCTTTTGTTGGGTATTGATTTAATAAACTAACATGTAAGCATACCACGCTGCACCTTTGTCCAATCCTGTACTCAACGAACGTGACAATATGTAAGGTTCTGCATTTGTTTTCTTAGTTCACCTTTTGTTCTTGAACGTAGCCCTGTTTCTTTGTGTTCTTGAACGTAGCCATTTCTTTGTGTTCTTGAACGTAGCCGTTTCTTTGTGTTCTTGAACGTAGCCCTGTTTGTATGTGTTCTTGAACGTAGCCCTGTTTGTATGTGTTCTTGAACGTAGCCCTGTTTGTATGTGTTCTTGAACATAGCCCTGTTTGTATGTGTTCTTGAACGTAGCCCTGTTTCTATGTGTTCTTGAACGTAGCCCTGTTTCTATGTGTTCTTGAACGTAGCCCTGTTTCTATGTGTTCTTGAACGTAGCCCTGTTTCTATGTGTTCTTGAACGTAGCCCTGTTTCTTTCATTTTTGTTCATTGATTTCACCTGTGTTAGTTACTCACCTGGTCTCATCAGCTCCTTATTTAGTTCAGTTCTTTCTGTTTGTGCCTTGTGAGGTATTGTTCGTTTTGACTCTACTAAGCCTTTTCCTAGCTTGTTTGTGAGAACCAGTTATAGCCTTCAGTCCTAGTTTTTGATTCTCCTGCCTTTGTTATGACCATTGCCTGCCTGTGACCACGATTCCTGCCTTCTGCGAAGGTGAAATTAACTCCTGCCATGCTCTGTGCTTGAATCTACACCTTTTTCCTCCCTGAGTATTCATTACAATATATTTAATATATTGTTATTCCTTTACTTAGATTTGTGTGTATTAGGTATTTGTTGTGGAACTGTTAGATATTGCTGCACTGTCGGAACTAGAAGCACAAGCATTTCACAACAATCGCAATAACATCTGCTAAACATGTGTATGTGCCCAATACATTTGATTTGACAGAAAAATGTAATGTCTGGTAGGCTTAGGGACATTTTACAGATGAGGGCTTGGTCCTATGAGAAGGTTTTTGGACTACAAGTTCCCCAGAGTTAATTAATAGATGGACACTGTCAGGCTGCCTCTCTGAGAACAACAGGTCTGACTGTTGAGAAAAATAATGTACAGAGTTTTAATCTGCCAGAGAGGCCTGTGATGTGATCCAGAGCATGGTGTTAATATGGATGACAGTTACGTGTGACATGTTTTTCTTTCTCCCAATCTTCCTTTTGTAGTGTGTGTGTGTGTGTGTGTGTGTGTGTGTGTGGTTGTTCTGGTTATTACAGGTGTGCTGAGTTGCGGTCCGGAGTCCTGGCAGCTGTGGTTGAGTGACTAATTGACTAGAGTAAATAAACGGTTTGCCGTGTGAGCTCGAGAGAGAGGGGGCACTTTTTGTTTGTCTGAGGATTTGGTTATTCGTTATTTTGATGTGTCTTTGTTTGTGTTCCACCCTACCTGGGTCCTGGAGAAGGGAAAGGTAGTTCTGCCCATGGGTGTACATTCACACGTAGATAATCCACTGTTTTACACACTAGGTTAGCTGGGCGGGTGTCACCCCTGTATTTGGTAACAGGTAGGAAAGCGGGTTAAGGCTTAGAGTGTGTTAGGAAGGATTAGGTGTGTAGAAGAGGAGGGACCTTTTGTTTATTGTCATTACTTGGACCCCGTTCCCAAACATTCCCTTCTCTTACCTTCCCTGGTTTGTTTGATTGGTCTCTGTTTTATTACTGTTTCTTTATGGGTGTTATTATTTTGTTTAGTACTTTACTAACCGACCCCAGAGGGCTAACATTGAGTTCTGGTTGTTGTGTCTGGTTATTTTAGTTAGTTACACCCCACATTTCTTCCCCATCCGTCTAGTTTACCCTGCACAGGCATTTACATCTCCTCCTCAGACGAGCTACACCCGAGGGGAGAACGTAACAATGACAGAGAGGAGAGAGAGACCCAGAAAATAACCGTTCAATTCTACAACCACCTAAAAAGAAGCGATTCCCAAACCTTCCATAACAAAGCCATCACATACAGAGAGATGAATCTGAAGAAGAGTCCCCTAAGCAAGCTGGTCCTGGGGCTCTGTTCACAAACACAAACAGAGCCCCAGGACAGCAATACAATTAGACCCAACCAAATCATGAGAAAACTAAAAGATAATTACTTGACACATTGGAAAGAATTAACAAAAAAACAGAGCAAACTAGAATGCTATTTGGCCCTAAACAGAGAGTACACAGTGGCAGAATACCTGACCACTGTGACTGACCCAAACTTAAGGAAAGCTTTGACTATGTACAGACTCAGTGACCATAGCCTTGCTATTGAGAAAGGCCGACGTAGGCAGACCTGGCTCTCAAGAGAAGACAGGCTATGTGCACACTGCCCACAAAATAAGGTGGAAACTGAGCTGCACTTCCTAATTTCCTGCCGAATGTATGATCATTTTAGAGACACATATTTCCCTCAGATTACAGAGATCCACAAAGAATTAGAAAACAAACCCAATTTTGATAAACTCCCTTATCTACTGGGTGAAATACCACAGTGTGCCATCACAGCTGCAAGATTTGTGACCTGTTGCCACAAGAAAAGGGCAACCAGTGAAGAACACACACCATTGGAAATAATAATATGAATAATAATATGCATCCCATATTTATCTTCTATTTTGTACCTTAACTATTTGCACATGAATATAACACTGTATATACAGTCGTGGTCAAAAGTTTTGAGAATGACACAAGTATTGGTCTTCACAAAGTTTGCTGCTTCAGTGTTTTTAGATATTTTTTGTCAGTATGTTACTATGGTATACTGAAGTATAATCACAAGCATTCCATAAGTGTCGAAGGCTTTTATTGACAATTACATTAAGTTTATGCAAAGAGTCAATATTTGCTGTGTTGACCCTTCTTTTTCAAGACCTCTGCAATCTGCCCTGGCTTGCTGTCAATTAACTTCTGGGCCACATCCTGACTGATGGCAGCCCATTCTTGCATAATCAATGCTTGGAGTTTGTCAGAATTTGTGGGTTTTTGTTTGTCCACCCGCCTCTTGAGGATTGACCACAAGTTCTCAATGGGATTAAGGTCTGGGGAGTTAGGAAAAGCTTCCAGTCTGTTATTCTAACTCAATCAGCATGACAGAGTGATCTCCAGCCTTGTCCTCGTCAACACTCTCGCCTGTGTTAACGAGAGAATCACTAACATGATGTCAGCTGGTCCTTTTGTGGCAGGGCTGAAATGCAGTGGAAATGTTTTTTTGGGATTAAGTTCATTTTCATGGCAAATGGGGGACTTTGCAATTAATTGCAATTCATCTGATCACTCTTCATAACATTCTGGAGTATATGCAAATTACCATCATAAAAACTGAGGCAGCAGACTTTGTGAAAATTCATATTTGTGTCATTCTCAAAACTTTCGACCACGACTGTAGACATAATATGTGTAACTTGTGTAATATTTACTGTTCATATTTATTGTTTATTTCACTTTTGTATATTATCTATTTCACTTGCTTTGGCAATGTTAAACATATGTTTCCCATGCTAATAAAACTATTAGAGAGAGAGAGAGAGAGAGAGAGAGAGAGAGAGAGAGATTCTCACCAGCCTTCTCTGCCACGTCCTCTGCACTCATGTTCTGAGGGTTCTGTCTGATCCTGAACGTCAGGGCCGGACCCACAACACTGAAGGAACAACATGAGTAGGTCAGTTTACACACACATGCGTACACACAAATACACACCACACTCATTATCACACACAGACACACAGCAGTGCAGTACCTGATGTTGATGAAGCTTCTGGTAGTCAGGTGGATTCTCTCTGCCAGTAGATCCAGTAGTTTTACCCCATCATACAGACTGAGAGGACTGGAGAACAACAACAACAACAACAACACACAATAAACACTTACATTCATCAACATGCATATGACCTTTAGAGTCTAGACTCAACATCATAGCATATGACCTTTAGAGTTTAGACTCAACATCATAACATATGACCTTTAGAGACTCAACATCATAGCATATGACCTTAGTCTAGACTCAACATCATAGCATATGACCTTAGTCTAGACTCAACATCATAGCATATGACCTTTAGAGTCTAGACTCAACATCATAGCATAAAACCTTGCCTCCGGCATTGAAGAGCTGATGATATCAGGGACTCAGGCATACATACATTTAATGTAAGTCATATCCATTTGTAACAGGAGGTCACAGTCTAGCCAGTATTAGGGACTACGAGAGGTAAAACTAGAGATCCACACAGTACGTTACTAGGACTGACCTCTGGTTAGTGACGATGTATCCATACTCCTCCCTGGCTGCAGTTCCTCTCTCAGCAGCCGGTAGCCCCGCTGGGACATAGGAGCTTTTCAACTTCCCTTCCACATCCACAGAGGGGCCCTTGGCTGTCACGCTGCCCCCTAGAGGTGCTGTGAGGGGCGGACTAGTGGCAGCAGGGGCCACCTTGGGCCCTGGGGCAGAGGAGGGAGGGGGGACAAGGACGGGAGCTTTATCTGCCTTGTTGGACACTGTGTCACTGCTTTTAAGAACCTGCTGCATCTGTGTAGAGGAGGAGGAAGAGGAGGAGGAAGAGGAGGAAGAAGAAGAAATGGAGGAGGAAGAGAAGGAAGAAGAAGAGGAGGAGAGGGAAGAGGAGGAGGAGGAGGACACACATGACGATAATGGTTATATGGTCATTATGTTACAGTAAACAACATGTTATTATCATATAATAATAATATGGCATTTAGCAGACGCTTTTATCCAAAGCGACTTACAGTCATGCGTGCATAAATTTTTGTGTATGGGTGGTCCCGGGGATCGAACCCACTACCTTGGCGTTACAAGTGCCGTGCTCTACCAGCTGAGCTACAGAGGACCATATCACATTTGATGTCGTTATGTACCGTATACTCCTATCTGATCTTAACATACCTCCTTTAGATCATTGGTAAGTGGATCTGAAAAACAAGAGAGAGCATTACAAAGATGTTTTAGCAAGGCAGATGGAGTATAGGGTCAATGTAAATAGTCCGGGTGGCCATTTGATGAATTGTTCAGCAGTCTTATGGCTTGGGGGTAGAAGCTGTTAAGGAGCCTTTTGGACCTAGACTTGGCGCGCCGGTACCGCTTGCCGTGCGGTAGCAGAGAGAACAGTCCATGACTTGGGTGACTTCCCCTAACCCTAACCCTAACCTTAACCCTTAATCCTAACTCCTGACCCCTAGCCTACCTTAGCAAGCTAGTTAACGTTAGCCACCTAGCTAGAATTCGTAGCATATGAAACGTTTTGCAAATTCATAGCATATTGTACATTTTGCAAATTCATAACATATAATACGAATTGTAATTAATAACATATCATATGAAATGGGTGATGGACATCCACAAATTAATACATACCATATTAAACGTAACATATCAGACTAAATGCAGTGACTTACACACAGAATAATAATACGAAATGCTCTTAGACCAGGTTGCATATACTGTAAATCCAATGAAAAGGAGAGACTGGGAGGCAAAAAAACATAAGGATATCTGTATCATTTATTCGATGACTATAATGTGTTGCGAGTCGTACCTATGATGTCCTGGTCCTCTGCCTGCATCAGCTGCAGCGCAACAGCAAGTCTGTAGAGCTGCTGGGGGGTCAGGTCTCTTGGGTCAACGCCGTACCTCTCCAGGATCTCCGTCATACGCTGCAGGATCAACTCTACACAGGACAGGAGAGACTATGTCAGTATCAGCAGTGCATGTTTTGGGGTAATATTCAGTGGTGAACTATATGTAGTTGAACTAGTAATTGAATTACATTTTGCTGTAGCTTGGTGGTAGTTGAATTCAATTCAAATCTTGGTAGTGTTTTCAGTAGTTCATATATTTTTTTTTTGTCATGTAGTGGTGTAGTTAACTACTTATTTATTTTATTTACTTATTTAGCAACAACAACAAAAAAGAGAACATAAAGTAAAGCAGGAAATCATTGTCTTTCTTTTTTGGCATCAGACTGACCTAATTCTCACTTCAAATATAGTTTTTGTGTTTAATAGGCTAAAAAAACACATTCCGTTAAGATCTGACTCCAGAGTGATCTGTTCTTGCAAATTGTAGTCTATAATATTTCATATTTAGATATGATAATATTTCACGAAGTAGTTTGGATGTAGTGTAACTACTTTTTTCAGAGTAACTTTAGTTATGTAAACTATATTTTTCTTAAGGGTGGCTTTAGTCTAGCTTAACTTCTTCCAGTGGGATGTAATTGGTAGCTTGGTTAACTATATTTTTCAGAGTAGCTTTCCCCCGACACTGATCAGTATGGAGTCTACAGAGACATGAGTTCACCAGGGGACGGATTTATAAAAGTTGCGTACACACAAAATATTACCCCAAAACATGCATGCAAAAGCTGGCATTTATCAAAACTGAACTTCAAGCGAGAATGTTCTTAGTTTGCAGTCCCCGCAAAACTTTATACCATGCATAAGCAAAGTTTTCTAGTGGTTGATTTCCTTATATGAACTGTAACTCAGTAAAATCTTTGAAATTGTTGCATGTTGCATTTATATTTTTTGTTCAGTATAGCTACAAAAGTAGTAACTGGTTGAAAAGTAGCTAATTAGCAAAAGTGCTAAAGTTGTCCATGACGAGATTCGAACTTGCAACCTTCGGGTTGCTAGATGTTCACATTATACACTCAGCCAGATCAACCACCCTGCTTTCGTTTTTTCCTTAAGTAACCGTCTTATGTGACCATAGCAAACGTAACGTAGCATAATGTGTGAAGTGTTCCGGATTTATGCTTCCTATGTTACATCTAGTCTATGAGACGAGGCTGTTTGCTTTGACCTGTGTAGGCTACCGCTGTAAGTAGGCCTGTAGTTCAAAAAATAAAATATTGAGTAGACATACTAGACAATGTTTCAGAATTCGCGGGCAGTGGAACATATTTGGGTTCAGGAAAAAGTAAACGCAAGACATTATTGAATTCAAACGATCTGATTAAAGGTCCACAACAATTTGCAATATTTTTTCTTTCTTTCAGAAACTGTTAGATACAGCCAATTTTAACTGTAAAAGTTTAAAACATACTGCCAACACCTTCGGAGACATTTGATGAAGTTCTCCATTGCTATTTCCTTTAGAAACATCCTTGGTCTAATTCCAACATTATTTATAATAAAGGATACATAGAGAAAATAGGACCTCTCTGAAATGAAAATGGATGCCCCTCACTTCTGCAAAATATATTTGACCTAAACCCTTCCTGAACGCTTGAAAAAGAACAAGTGACCCTCCGCTACACCAAGAATAATAATTAAATCACAAAGTGGATAGCAGAGAACATCCTTACAGTTTACCCTCACGCCTAGGACAGACCAGAGCCTTTAGATATGCCGTTTTAAAAACTGTTCTTCGTCCTGTCAGCATTACATGACAACGCAGGAATTTTGATAGACAGGGCTGAGGCCAGAAGGTTGTGGGTTCACAGACCAACGTGGACAAGGGTTGGGGTGGAAAGATCTCCTTTATAGTAAAAGCACTGCATGAATCTATCATCGTATTTGCAAGTCCGAGGAAAGAATTGCCTTTTAGTTTCAAGTTTTAATGTCACATAGCTAGTCACAAGTACAGTGAAATGCCTTTCTTGCAAACGCAAAACCCAACAATGCAATAATCAATAACAATGTAATACTCACTTTTATAAAAATTTCAGGCAATTCTACGTCATTTTACATATTAGCAGAATCATAGAGATGGTCCTATGTGTTCATCTGACAAAGCTAAGAATGGACAGAGAGATAGGCCTGTGTGTTTATCTGACAGGCTAAGAATGGACAGAGAGATAGTCCTATGTGTTTATCTGACAGGCTAAGAATGGACAGAGAGATAGGCCTGTGTGTTCATCTTATCATATTTCTCCAATGCCAAATCAGTGTGTCTTATTTGCAACGAGACTGTCCCTGTTTGCAAATAATTACATCTTTAGGAATCTGAGCATGGTACTTTCAAAAGTTAGGCCTACCTTTCCACCCCAGACAGTAGGCCTACCGACGCAGACAAAATGTAAGATTTAACTGCTGGCTACTCTTCTTCCATGGCTTAACCCAACGAGAGAGGGTCACAAGTGGTTCCCTAAAAGCTGTCTGGGTTTAAACATCTTCTATTATACAGAAAGTGAATAGCTTAATCAATTGATAGTGACAGAATTAGATTACTTCCCAAGCAAAGTCCATTGTTTGTCTCCTCGGCTGTAGAAGGTTGTAGCTCAGCATCTGAATATGAAAGAAACTAAACAATGATATCGGAGTCACGTCTTTCCCCGGGATTTTACAGCTTGTTTGTAGCATAAAGCATCGCGGACCAAAGCGCTGTTACAGATCACTTTATACAGTGGAGAAAAAAAGTATTTAGTCAGCCACCAATTGTGCAAGTTCTCCCACTTAAAAAGATGAGAGAGGCCTGTAATTTTCATCATAGGTACACGTCAACTATGACAGACAAATTGAGAAAAGAAAATCCAGAAAATCACATTGTAGGATTTTTTATGAATTTATTTGCAAACTTTTTTCCTCCATTTTCTTTAATAAAAAGTAGGCCTGTGGCATACCCCCTCATATCCCCTTATACCCCCTCATATCCCCTAATACCCCCTCATATCCCCTCATACCCCCTCATACCCCCTCATACCCCCTCATATCCCCTCATACCCCCTCATATCCCCTCATACCCCCTCAATTCAAGTCCTGGTTTTAACTTAACAGCCCTTTTTTATTTATTATTTATATATTATATTATATTTATTTATTTCCTTGGTGGGTGGAGGAATTGACCAACAAATCTATGGATATAGCATCCTATAGCCTAATTTCTTCTGTCAAACAGGAAGGCCTACCTCTTATTTCTTAAATAGGAAGAAATAGACTCCAACACAAAGCCCTCTTGTTGTTAGTAAAGTCTAATTAAAATGAAGACGGTTGAAATGAATTATGCCTACTTCCAGCACCATGAGCTGCCCATTTCCGATTGATTGTGCCGCGACTGCTGCTTCAAGTTTGAGCACCACAATGTAAATTACTCGAATCTGGCTTATTGTGAGGTCAATAACTCTGATAAAAACATTATGGGCAAGAAACATATTGTTATAATTCAAATCAATTCTAGTAGTATCAAACTATCAAAGTTGACCTCCAGTCCTCCTTCTCATCTTGGCGCGCTCCTTGTCAAACTGAACAGATCATAGGCTATAGGATAGATTGCGAGCAAGAGAGTGCATTATTTGGACGAGGCCTAATCAAAAACTATTTTCGGAAGAAGCCTTTGACTCTCCTCCTGAACTGCCACCGTTGGCCTACACAGCACAGCCATTGGTCAAGCAGCACACAAAATCGTTTTTGACCAACAAGAGCAGAGCAGGCGGTGGCTCAGGGTGGGAATATCCATTGCAGTGTGTAATGCAGCCTAGTTTTATTTACACCATCCCAGCAGCTATCTTAGAAATATAACTTTGCTCTGTGCTTCTCCCAGCATGCACTTCGTAGCCTATAGCAGTTCCACTAACTCACCATCCAGCCCAATGGTGGAGTTCCACTAAGACAGCAGTTCCACTAACTCACCATCCAGCCCAGCCAGAGAGCTGTAGTCCTGCTGTGGAAGCTTCTGCTGTTGCTTCTGTATCTGCTGCTGTTGTCTGGCTCTGGTCGTAGCCTGCTCCGTCAGACTGTAGTCCTCCACAAAGTCCAGAGGCAGCTCTGGTTCCTCGTAGTAGGGTGAGGCTGCTGCCCCCCGGTGGCGGAACAAGGGCTGTGCAGGCGAAGAGGACAGATAGAGGGAGACGACGTCCTGCAGCAGCTGACGGTCTCTCTCTCTCTGTTTGGCCTGTTGGTACCTGGAGGAGGAGGGGCGGAGCCCTGAGTAGACTCCTCCTCCCTGGTGGAGGGTGCGCTCCACATCTTCCTGTAATACACAGAGAGAGGAAAAAACTCATGGTTTACGGACGAGGACAAGTGTGTGTGTGTGTGTGTGTGTGTGTGTGTGTGCGTCCATCCGTGCTTGTTTGTTTGTGTGTCTGTGTGTGTGCGTGCGTGTGTGAGTGTGTGTTTATGTGTGTGTGTGTGTGTGTGAGTGTGAGTGATTTCATACACTAAACCTTCACCAAGTACATTTACACATTCTCTGAATGTTACTTGGTGATATGGTGCTGCTAGTGATAGACAACATTTAGAGACAGAATACAGACAGCGGAGTTTAAACCAAGATTACATACAGTACCAGTCAAAAGTTTGGACACACCTACCAGGGTTTTTCTTTATCTTTACTATTTTCTACATTGTAGAATAATAGTGAAGACATCAAAACTATGAAATAACACATATGGAATCATGTACAGTGAGGGGAAAAAAGTATTTGATCCCCTGCTGATTTTGTATGTTTGCCCACTGACAAAGAAATGATCAGTCTATAATTTTAATGGTAGGTTTATTTGAACAGTGAGAGACAGAATAACAAAAAAAAAATCCAGAATTTTTTTTTGTTATAAATGATTTGCATTTTAATGAGGGAAATAAGTATTTGACCCCCTCTCAATCAGAAAGATTTCTGGCTCCCAGGTGTCATTTATACAGGTAACGAGCTGAGATTAGGAGCACACTCTTAAAGGGAGTGCTCCTAATCTCAGTTTGTTACCTATATAAAAGACACCTGTCCACAGAAGCAATCAATCAATCAGATTCCAAATTCTCCACCATGGCCAAGACCAAAGAGCTCTCCAAGGATGTCAGGGACAAGATTGTAGACCTACACAAGGCTGGAATGGGTTACAAGACCATCGCCAAGCAGCTTGGTGAGAAGGTGACAACAGTTGGTGCGATTATTCGCAAATGGAAGAAACACAAAATAACTGTGACCTGAGAACCTTTTGTATGATGTATCATAAATTACTTTAGGCCTTCTTCGTTATTGCCACAATGTTATGGTCACTAATCAGCCAATGGGAACTGAGAGTGTATTGCTCTGCACCATTAACGACAGTGAATCCAGATGCAGCACTGTAAGTATTTGTAAAAGTATTCAAGCCAATTGTTGCACCTGTTAGAAACTAACTGTGAGAACTGGATTGATGATGAACTGAAACATGTTATGTTTCAAAGAAAATTATGCAAAAGGCTGCTCAGCTGATTGGTTGACAGACAGTCAATTGAGACATTTTTGTGACTAAACTTTTAACAAAAAAAAGAAACTATATTACTGAACCACGATTAATGACATGAAACACAATTGAAAAAAATACTTGAGTACCTTAAATGATATCATGGGCAGAAAACCCAATTCATCTCCATCGTTCATTGAAGTTGATGGGTCATTTATTACAAAACTTTTCCATATTGTCAATAATTTCAATGACTATTTCACTAGCAAAGTGAAAAAACTCTGAAGTGGGACGACAATATTGAAGAGTGAACCATCATATATTTAAAATAAAATATATAATAATGAAAGAGAAGGATTGTTTTGAATTTGGTGAAATTAGTGTGGGAGAGGTGGAAAAACTATTGTTATCCATCCATAATGATAAGCCACCAGGTATAGACAAGCTAGATGGGAAACTATTGAGAATGGTAGCAGACTGTGTTGCCACCACTATTTGCTATATCTTTAACCAAAGCCTAAAGGAGTGTGTCCACAGGAAGCTAAAGTAATTCCACTGCCTAAAAATAATAAAACACCCTTTGCTGGCTCTAACAGCCGCCCAATCAGTTTGCTGCCTCTTCTTAGTAAACTGATGGAGAGAATTGTGTTTGACCAAATACAATGCTCTTTTTTCAGAGATCAAATTAACTACTGACTTTCAGCATGCATCTAGAGAAGGGAACTCAACGTGTACTAAACTGACTCAGATGACTGATGATTGGTTGAAATAAATGGATAATATGACGTGATCCGTTCCAGGAAGCCTACAATGCCTTGCAAAAGTATTCATCCCCCTTGGCGTTTTTTCCTATTTTGTTGCATTACAACCTGTAATTTAAATTGATTTTTATTTGGATTAAATGTAATGGACATACACAAAATAGTCCAAATTGGTAAAGTGAAATGAAAAAAAGTAATTTTTTCAAAAAAATAAAAAACGGAAATGTAGCGACTATAAGTGTCACATGATCTGTCACATGATCTGAGTATATATACACCTGTTCTGAAAGGCCCCAGAGTCTGCAACACCACTAAGCAAGGGGCACCACCAAGCAAGCGGCACCATGAAGACCAAGGAGCTCTCCAAACAGGTCAGGGACAAAGTTGTGGAGAAGTACAGATCAGGGTTGGGTTATAAAAAAATATCAGAAACTTCGAACATCCTACGGAGCACCATTAAATCCATTATAAAAAAATTGAAAGAATATGGCACCACAACAAACCTGCCAAGAGAGGGCCGCCCATCAAAACTCATGGACCAGGCAAGTAGGGCATTAATCAGAGAGGCAACAAAGATAACCCTGAAGGAGCTGCAAAGCTCCACAGCGGAGATTGGAGTATCTGTCCATAGGACCACTTTAAGCCGTAGACTCCATAGAGCTGGGCTTTACGGAAGAGTGGCCAGAAAAAAGCAATTACTTAAGCCATGTGGGAGACTCCCAAACATATGGAAGAAGGTACTCTGTTCAGATGAGACAAAAAATTGAGCTTTTTGGCCATTAAGTGAAACGCTATGTCTGGCACAAACCCAACACCTCTCATCACCCCGAGAACACCATCCCCACAGTGAAGAATGGTGGTGGCAGCATCATGCTGTGGGGATGTTTTTAATCGGCAGGGACTGGGAAACTGATCAGAATTGAAGGAATGATGGATGGCGCTAAATTCAGGGAAATTCTTGAGGGAAACCTGTTTCAGTCTTCCAGAGATTTGAGACTGGGACAAAGGTTCACCTTCCAGCAGGACAATGACCTTAAGCATACTGCTAAAGCAACACTCGAGTGCTTTAAGGGGAAACATTTAAATGTCTTGGAATGGCCTAGTCAAAGCCCAGACCTCAATCCAACTGAGAATCTGTGGTATGACTTAAAGATTGCTGTACACCAGCGGAACCCATCCAACTTGAAGGAGCTGAAGTAGTTTTGCCTTGAAGAATTGGCAAAAATCCCAGTGGCTAGATGTGCCAAGCTTATAGAGACATACCCCAAGAGACTTGCTGCTGTAATTGCTGCAAAAGGTGGCTCTACAAAGAATTGACTTTGGGGGTGGTGATGCATGCTCAAATTTTCTGTTTTTTTGTCTTATTTCTTGTTTGTTTCACAATAAAAAATATTCAACGTGGTAGGCATGTTGTGTAAATCAAATGATACAAATCCCCCCAAAATCCATTTTAATTCCAGGTTGTAAGGCAACAAAATAGGAAAAATGCCAAGGGGGGTGAATACTTTCGCAAGCCACTGTATAAACATTTTCATTGAACCAGACATTGTAGAGTCTTCTGATGACAGTGATGTTGTCACGGAAGAAGTTGACCGAGTTTTGAAATCAGTAGAATGTTTTGGAAGCAGAGTATGATAACAAATGCGGTGGGAGACGAAAAGAGAACACAGAAGGCTGTTGTATAAAACACCTGTCTCCAGATTACATCTTCAAACTAAGGGCAACCATAGCATCCATGACAGAGAGGGTGAAGCGTTCATCCATGTATACGGGTTAGTGTCTAGCAAAATTTTCAGATATTTTAAGTTTCTAATTTGGTCAGAAAGTCGTTTTCATTGCAAGTTAAAACGTACTGTTAGCTAGCTAACGTTAAGTGTATGATCTGTGTATTAATATTATTCGTATCTCAGAGCCATTTGCTTTGCTAGTTATAGCCTAATGTTAGCTAGCTAGCATTGAACCTGGTTGGTTAGCTACCTGCAGATTCATGCAGGCTAGTACCGTCATGAGTTGGGATTATTGTTCATTGTTTAGCTAGCTAGCTACATGTCTAAACAAAAAGACTCCACTATTATATATAGTATATATACATTATGTATATGAGCTGTGTCAGCACCCAAAGCCAGTGAGCTCACTGAAATTCTAAATAAGGAGTTACAGTCAGTATCAGAATGGGGGATTAATAATAAACTGGTCTTAAATACATCTACAACTAAAAACATTGTATTTGGTTCAAAACATTCTCTAAGACCTAAACCTTAAACTGGAGTTATGTATCAAGGGTGTGACCATTGAGCAATTTTATTAAGCTAAACTCCTAGGTATAACATTGGATGGTCCATTATCATGGTCAAGTCATACTGACAAAGTTGTATGACTTGTCCCATCCTGATTACTGTTCGGTAATATGGTCAAGTGCAGCAAAGAAAGACCTAGCAGAGCTGCAGCTGCCCTTACCTGCATGCTTCTGCACATACAGAACTAACAACATGCATTCCAGTCTTTCCTGTTTGAGGGTTGACGAGATATTAACTGCTTCTCTTCTAGTTTTTATGAGAAGCATTACTGTAATGAAAAATCCAGATTTTTGCCATAATCAAATAACATTCAGCTCAGACACCCATACATACCCGACAAGACATGCCACCAGGGGTCTCTTCACAGTCCCCCAAGTCCAAAACTAATTCACGACAACGCACAGTTGTATACAGAGCCATGATCGCATGGAACTCCCTTCCATCTCCAATTACTCAAACAAACAGCAAAATGAGCTTTAAAAAAATATCTAACAACATCTCATGGACACATTCTTCTTAGTTGTATTGTTCATATTATTATTTAGTAGTTGTTTTGTTAATGTGTGCAACTGTCCTTGTCTATCAGTGTTTTATATACAACATTTACATATTAGTCATTTAGCAGACGCTCTTATCCAGAACAACTTACAGGAGCAATTAGGGTTAAGTGCCTTGGACAAAGTTACATCACCAGATTGCTCACTTAGTCAAGTTGGGGATTCGAACCAGCAACCTTTTGATTACTGGCCCAGGAAATCAGTCAATTGAAATAAATTAATTAGGTCCTAATCTATGGATTTCACATGACTGGGTATACAGATATGCATCTGTTGGTCACAAATACATTTAAAAAAAAGTAGTGGCCTGGATCAGAAAACCTGTCAGTATCTGGTGTGACCACCATTTTCCTCATGCAGTGCGACACATCTCCTTCACATAGAGTTGATCAGGCTGTTGATTGTGGCCTGTGGAATGTTGTTGCACTCCTCTTTAATTGCTGTGTGAAGTTGCTGGATATTGGCGGGAACTGGAACATGCTGTCGTACACGTCGATCCAGAGCATCCCAAACATGCTCAATGGGTGTCATGTCTGGTGAGTAGGCAGGCCATGGAAGAACTTGGACATTTTCAGTTTCCAGGAATTTTGTACAGATCCTTGCGACATGGGGCTGTGTATTATCATGCTGAAACATTAGGTGATGGTGGCGGATGAATGGCACGACAATGGGCCTCAGGATCTCGTCACGGTATCTCTGTGCATTCAAATTGCCATTGATAAAATTAAATTGTGTTCGTTGTCCGTAGCTTATGCCTGCCCATACCATAACCCCACCGCCACCATGGGGCACTCTATTCACAATGTTCACATCAGCAAACCGCTCACCCACACGACGCCATACATGCTGTCTGCCATCTGCCTGGTACGGGATTAATCAGTGAAGAGCACACTTCTCGAAGGTGAGCATTTGCCCACTGAAAAAGTTGGTTACGACCACGAACTGCAGTCAGGTCAAGACCATGGTGAGGACGACGAGCACGCTGATGAGCTTCCCTGAGACGGTTTCTGACAGTTTGTACAGAAATTATTTGGTTTTGCAAACCCACAGTTTAATCAGCTGTCCAGGTGGCTGGTCTCAGACGATCCCGCAGGTGAAGAAGCCAGATGTGGAGGTCCTGGGCTGGCGTGGTTACACGTGGTCTGCGGTTGTGAGGCCGGTTGGACGTACTGGCAAATTCTCTAAAACGACGTTGGTATAGAAATGAAAATTAAATTCTCTGGCAACAGCTCTGGTGGACATTCCTGTAGTCATCATGCCAATTGCACGCTCCCTCAAAACTTGAGACATCTTTGGCATTGTGTTGTGACAAAACTGCACATTTTAGAGTGGCCTTTTATTGTCCCCAGCACAAGGTGCACCTGTGTAATGATCATGCTGTTTAATCAGTTTCTTGATATGCCACACCTGTCAGGTGGATGGATTATCTTGGCAAAGGCGAAATGCTCACTAACAGGGACGTAAACAGATTTGTGCACAGAATTTGAGGCAAATAAGCTTTGTGCGTACGGAACATTTCGGGGATCTTTTATTTCAGCTCATGAAACATGGGACCAACACTTTACATGTTGCGTTTATATTTCCGTTCAGTATAGTTACCAAAACTTTAACACATAACATCCGGAATGATGAGCATGCCCTCCTTAAGTGGGGCAGTTAAGTTGGAGTTATGATACATTTTGTGTTCCAATGTTAGTTTTTTTAAAAGAAATGCGCGAATCGTTTTGTTTAGGTCGAGGTGAAGTGCGGAAGAATTGAAGGTATGAATCACCTGTGGAAGGCGGGGCTTCCAGTGAGACACAGTGTTATTCCATTGTTCTTCAGTAGAGGGCGCTAGCGCGCAAACTCCCCATAGCTGAGTTTACTGAAAGGGAACACATTATATCTTTACAATATCAAGTTTGCTGTGTGTGTCTGAGTGTCTGTGTTAACATGTATGGCGGTAGCCTACAGTACCTGTTGGTGGGTATGAGGGTCCATGGGAGACGTCCGCATGCGTAGGGGGGACTGGGGATGGTCTACTATCATGTAGTCCTGGTAACGGTCAGCCTGACTGGCCCCTGACTTGGAGGAGCTGCTGGGATATCCTCCCTGATTGGAGGAGCTGCTGGGATATCCTCCCTGATTGGAGGAGCTGCTGGGATATCCTCCCTGATTGGAGGAGCTGATGGGATATCCTCCCTGATTGGAGGAGCTGCTGGGATATCCTCCCTGATTGGAGGAGCTGCTGGGATATCCTCCCTGATTGGAGGAGCTGCTGGGATATCCTCCCTGATTGGAGGAGCTGCTGGGGTATCCTCCCTGATTGGAGGAGCTGCTGGGATATCCTCCCTGATTGGAGGAGCTGCTGGGATATCCTCCCTGATTGGAGGAGCTGCTGGGGTATCCTCCCTGATTGGAGGAGCTGCTGGGATATCCTCCCTGATTGGAGGAGCTGCTGGGGTATCCTCCCTGATTGGAGGAGCTGCTGGGATATCCTCCCTGATTGGAGGAGCTGCTGGGGTATCCTCCCTGATTGAAGGAGCTGCTGGGGTATCCTCCCTGATTGGAGGAGCTGCTGGGATATCCTCCCTGATTGGAGGAGCTGCTGGGGTATCCTCCCTGATTGGAGGAGCTGCTGGGGTATCCTCCCTGATTGGAGGAGCTCTGCTTGGGTCTGGTAGAGAGGACACGCCAAGGGGGAGAGTTTAGCAGATCAGGGAGAGTCATTCAACAAAGAGCTTAGAATAGGAGTGCTGATATAGGATCAGCTTTGCGTTATAGGTCATAGGTCATAGGTCATAGGTCAGTTAATAAAATATTATACGGACATGGGGCACTCCGAGTGTGAATATGGGCCCTGAGCATAGCGCTGCTTCCGTCTACAACTACACAGAGGCTATAAGACACAGAAGACAATGTTGGATAGTCTAGAGAAAAGGCCCACTGGTCTAAATCCACCTTTAGTTGCTGTAAGCATCGTTACTGGGAGGAGGAGGAGGCCTTGGAAAAAAAAAAACAATTTACAGCTACACAGTGGCAAGATAAGACTGGATAGACCAGCTGGGAGAAGGCCTAAAGGTCAACTTTAGATTCTCTAAAATCTATTAGAATCCTTACTGTGAGGAGGAGGAGGAGGAGGAGGAGGAGGAGGAGAAGGAGGAGGCCTTTGAGGACCGTGGGGTGTGAGGAACTCTGCTCAGCTCTTTGGCAACAATGTACTGGGTAATGTCATCCTGCCAGGACAGACCTACAATTGGACAATTGGGATAAATAATATTTGCTTAGGTAATTTATATTTTCAGAAACATCAATGTTGTATTTGAACATCAGTGGATTTTTGGTTAAATTAGATTTAAAAAAATCATTGTAACACAGGGGGCTCTATTTTCTGGTGCTAAGGAGCCACAAGTGTCATGTCAAACTGGTGCATTTTCCAGCCCCAACGCCAGGTTTACCTGTCGAACATCAGCTCACTTGAGCTGAGGTGGGAGGGGTGGTCATATTTGAGGTGTGTCCTTAAAAACAAGCGCAAAAGTGACAATTTCATGCAGAGCTAATGGGAAGTTTTAAGACCAACAGTAACCCAGTTGATAATGGCATGGATTCAGCCTATCCAGCCATGACGCACAGTGCATATGGAAGGAGAGGTGTATCTTTTGTGCCAGTGAATCTCGTATTTAGAAACAAAAAAAAAACATTGGTTTCCCCCCCCCCCCTTTTCGTTTAATGAAAAACCAAGCATAGCCTCTAGCCATAGCCTACCCTCAATCAATGCTGGTTTAGAAGCATCACACGGGTGCATTCTTTATCCCCTGGCCATTAGCCTATGAATAAAGGGGTTTTAAATGGTCTACTGAGAGTGCTTCTGAGTTTCTCCTTGCCAACATTTGACATTTTAGTCATTTAGCAGAGGCTCTTATCCAGAGCGACTTACAGTTAGTGAGCGCATACATTTTTCATACTGGCCCCCCCGTGGGAATCAAACCCACAACCCTGGCGTTGCAAGCGCCATGCTCTACCAACTGAGCTACATCTACATCTGCATTGCTTGCTCTCTGGGGTTTTAGGTTGGGTGTCTGTAAAGCGCTTTTGTGCTGGTGTAAAAAGGGGTTTATAAATAAATGTTATTGATTGATTAGAATTATCTTTGAGGTTTTTACCCCCCATGCTTTTTCATTATTCACAATTCACATACAGATACAGTGAGGGAAAATAGTATAGGTTATCCATCCCCATTTTCAAAGAGCGCTCCTCATCCTGTTACCAAAGACACGCTCCAAACTTTTCAGTCCTCCTATAACGCCATGTCACACATAGGCAACGATACAATTGACAGGAGCCTAGTATTTTATATAGACGTGCGAATGCTATGCTACTATAACGATGGCTGGTTCAACAGCAATGCATTGTCTTTTTTTTGTCCTGGCCTTGCAAAGTAGCCCATCCAGAAAAAAGTGTTTAAATGGTCTATTCGTCAAGAGTGCCTTGAATTGAAAATTACACTGCACACCCTGAAACATACACACACCTGCATGCTGCGTTTAGCTTGATAAAGTATCCATTCCCATCTCAAAAGACGCAGTCCTCCAAGATTATTTCAATTAATCTGTCCTATAATGACAACAACAGGCTATATTTTGCTTATTGAGAACGTACCTCACACATACAGAATAAGTTATATTTTAGGAGAAGTGCGACACGTAGGCTAGGCTAGTTGAAGCCAATTACAACAATGTTGACTGTCAACACTCCAAACATCGGCTATTGAGCAAACACTGGATTTATTTTATTTTTACGTCATTTAGCAGACGCTCTTATCCAGAGCGACTTACAGTTAGTGAGTGCATACATTTTCATACTGGCCCCCAGTGGGAAACGAACCCACAACCCTGGCGTTGCAAGCGCCATGCTCTACCAACTGAGCTACACGGGACCACTGTTGCTACTACTCGTTACCGTAGTTACTGTACCCTATTTAATTACTATTTAATAAACTGTAGTATCAATCCACAGTCGAACAGGACGAGAATACTCCGTGCCCCAAGCCGAACTGGAGTTGACGACAATGCAAAGACCATCGATAACCTACAGAACTTGAGACAGAAGGCATGCAGTATTAAGCCAATGAATGTATCGATTGGCCAGTGAGTCGCCAAGGCCTCGTCACACCAACAACTTGTTCATTCATCAAAACCCTAAATGCGCCACCGCCAGCTATTGGGCTCATAATTATGGCTGTGAAAATAGTACAAATATTTGTGACTCACCTCTGGACGCTCAGCGCTAAGACTTACCGTTATCTTAGCTTTGTTAACATAGAGCCCCTAGATTTTCAACACATAGATAAGACCCTACGCAGGGGTGTGTTAGGGTGTTGACTCACCCTGTAGCATGAGCTGCTTGAGTACTTCCTGCATCCTCTTCAGAACAGGAACTGACACCTGGTACTGGACCTGGTCCTGCTTAGAGGTACGACACTGCCCGAAGAGACCATCTGCAACACGCACCACGCACCAGAATAACACGCACCAGAACACATCAACACAGTTACTGTACACACACACACACACACACACGCACTGCCCGAAGAGACCGTCTGCAACACGCACCAGAACACATCAACACAGTTGCTGTACACACACACACACACACACACGCACTGCCCAAAGAGATCATCGGGAACACGTACACACAGCAAGACACATCAACACACACACACACACACACACACACTCAGAAAACACACCTTTACATCCCACGAAAAAACAGAGCAATTCAACATAACATGAAGTAACTAAATGATACAAGACAACATTTTACATTTACATTTTAGTCATTTAGCAGAGGCTCTTATCCAGAGCGACTTACAGTTAGTGAGTGAATACATTTTTCATACTGGCCCCCCGTGGGAAACGAACCCACAACCCTGGCGTTGCAAGCGCCATGCTCTACCAACTGAGATACACGGGGCCTGACACAACCCTGGCGTTGCAAGCGCCATGCTCTACCAACTGAGATACACGGGGCCTGACACAACCCTGGCGTTGCAAGCGCCATGCTCTACCAACTGAGATACACGGGGCCTGACACAACCCTGGCGTTGCAAGCGCCATGCTCTACCAACTGAGATACACGGGGCCTGACACAACCCTGGCATTGCAAGCGCCATGCTCTACCAACTGAGATACACGGGGCCTGACACAACCCTGGCGTTGCAAGCGCCATGCTCTACCAACTGAGATACACGGGGCCTGACATGAAGTAACTAAATGATACAAGACAACCTGACACTATTTATTAAGCTCCTTACAACTCAGCACACAATCAGCAACCTGCTCAGCACCCAATCAGCAACCTCCTCATCACCCAATCAGCAACCTCCTCATCACCCAATCAGCAACCTCCTCATCACCCAATCAGCAACCTCCTCATCACCCAATCAGCAACCTGCTCATCACCCAATCAGCAACCTCCTCATCACCCAATCAGCAACCTCCTCATCACCCAATCAGCAACCTCCTCATCACCCAATCAGCAACCTCCTCATCACCCAATCAGCAACCTCCTCATCACCAAATCAGCAACCTGCTCATCACCCAATCAGCAACCTCCTCATCACCCAATCAGTAACCTCCTCATCAAATAACAAGCTCAAATATAGCTCAAACAGAGAATTCAACATCTGTAGATTACATTCATAACAACTTCCAATCCATAGAGACACACACACACACACACACACACACACACACACACACACACACACACACACACACACACACACACACACACACACACACACACACACAGAGAGAGAGAGAGAGAAAGATATACCCACTCTGACTCATAACTGAGTCATAACTGAGTCATAACTGAATGAAAATGATACTGCGGTGGTCCCAGGCCTCTCTCCCTCTCTGATTCAGAGGGGTTGGGTTAAATGTAGAATACAAATTTCAGTTGAAGGCAGTCAGTTGTACAACTGACTTGATATCCCGCTTTCCTTCTTATCCTCCATAGTGAACTCAGCCCTCTCTCTCCTCTCTCCCCATAGTGAACTCAGCCCTCTCTCTCCTCTCTCCCCATAGTGAACTAAGCCCTCTCTCTCTCCTCTCTTCTCCTTAGTGAACTCAGCCCTCTCTCTCCCCTCCATGGTGAACTCAGCCCACCCTCTCTCCTCTCTCCTCCTTAGTGAACTCAGCCACCTCTCTCCTCTCTCCCCATAGTGAACTCAGTCCTCTCTCTCCTCTTTTCTCCTTAGTGAACTCAGCCCTCTCTCTCTCCTCCATGGTGAACTCAGCCCTCTATCTCTCTCCTCTCTCCTCCATAGTGAACTCAGCCCTCTCTCACTCCTCCATAGTGAACCCAGCCCTCTCTCTCTCCTCTCTCCTCCATAGTGAACTCAGCCCTATCTCTCTCTCCTCCATAGTGAACCCAGCCCTCTCTCTCTCTCCTCTCTCCTCCATAGTGAACCCAGCCCTCTCTCTCTCTCCTCTCTCCTCCATAGTGAACCCAGCCCTCTCTCTCTCTCCTCTCTCCTCCACAGTGAACTCAGCCCTCTCTCTCACTCCTCTCTCCTCCATGGTGAACTCAGCCCTCTCTCTCACTCCTCTCTCCTCCATGGTGAACTCAGCCCTCTCTCTCTCTCCCCTCTCCTCCATAGTGAACTCAGCCCTCTCTCGCTCTCCTCTCTCCTCCATAGTGAACTCAGCCCTCTCGCTCTCTCTCCTCTCTCCTCCAAAGTAAACCCAGCCCTCTCTCTCTCCTCTCTCCTCCATAGTGAACCCAGCCCTCTCTCTCCTCTCTCCTCTCTCCTCCATAGTGAACTCAGCCCTCTCTCTCTCTCCTCCATAGTGAACTCAGCCCTCTCTCTCTCCTCTCTCCTCCATAGTGAACTCAGCCCTCTCCCTCCTCTCTCCTCCATGTTGAACCCAGCCTCACTTTCTCTCTCTCCTCCATAGTGAACTCAGCCCTCTCTCTCTCTTCGATAGTGAACACAGCCCTCTCTCCTCTCTCATCCATAGTGAACTCAGCTCTCTCTCTCCTCCATAGAGAACTCAGCCCTCTCTCTCTCTCTAATCTCTCCTCCATAGTGAACTCAGCCCTCTCTCTCTCTCCTCTCTCCTCCACAGTGAACACAGCCCTCTCTCTCTCCTCTCTCCTCCATAGTGAACTCAGCCCTCTCTCTCTCCTCTCTCCTCCATAGTGAACTCAGCCCTCTCTCTCTCCTCTCTCCTCCATAGTGAACCCAGCCCTCTCTCTCCTCTCTCCTCCATAGTGAACTCAGCCCTCTCTCTCTCCTCTCTCCTCCATAGTGAACTCAGCCCTCGCTCTCTTGCCTCTCTCCTCCATAGTGAACTCAGACCTCTCTTTCTCCTCTCTCCTCCATAGTGAACTCAGACCTCTCTTTCTCCTCTCTCCTCCATAGTGAACTCAGCCCTCTCTTTCTCTCTCTCCTCTCATCCTACAATGAAAAATAAACAAAGACATGAGTCACATCTATTAATAGGACTGGAGGACAGAGGGGTGACGGGATGGAGGTAATGGGTGAATGGAGGGAATGGAGGGATGGAGGGAATGGAGGGATGGAGGGATGGAGTGATTGAGGCTGGCGGAATGCGGGCTGGTAGGGCATGGAGGGATGGAGGGATGGAGGGAATGGAGGGATGGCGGGATGGATATGGAGGGATGGAGGGAATTGAGGGATGGCGGGATGGAGGTAATGGAGGGATGGAGGGAAGGAGGGGTGAAGGGATGGAGGGAATTGGGGATGGAGGGATGGAGGGATGGAGGGATGGAGGGATGGAGGGCATGGGGGGATCGGGTGGAGTGGAGGGAATGGAGGCATGGAGGGATGGGGGATGGAGGGATGCGAGGGATGGAGGGAATGGGGGATGGCGGGATGGCGGGAAGGCGGGATGGAGGGTGGAGGGAATGGCGGATGGAGGATGGAGGGATGGAGGGATGGAGGGATGGAGTGATGGAGGGAATGGAGGGATGGAGGGAATGAAGGGATGGAGGATGGAGGGAATGGAGGGATGGAGACTCATACCCCATTTCATTGATCCATAATCCTTAGATAAGGCTGTAGAGTGCAATATGAATGTCATAATGCACAAAAGACTGACTGGGGAGGTGATTTCCCACAGTCCTGCAATTAGAGCTACGACGTTAATATTTGTGTAAACTCTTCACAGTTGTGTTCTGTGGGTGTCATTGAGTTCACTGATACCCCATTTCACTGCACCACATTCCAACCCTCCAATCGTGTCTAGCATTATCTAGTCTAAATATGGCATGATTATACTATTTGGATCCATTTGCATCACTTTCAAAGAGGGACTTTTATTCAGAAGGAAAACCGCACATTCCACTATTGTGGCTAATCCCAGCTTCACAACACATAACCCGGTCCCAGGATTTCCATATCCGCGGTTTTCCCGCAAATTGGGCTACTTGAAAACTATGTCACAGGTGAAAATGTTTTGGTCACGGGTTGCAGGTTTTTGGGCTACTTCATATTTGCACCGCGGCCTCCACCCATTGGCATATCTCTTCAAATATATATAGTTCACCTGCTGCTGACTAGGAGGCTGCTACTGAGTAACTGAGTACACAACAACAACAACAACAACAACAACAACAACAACAACACAATTAGACCCAACCAAATCATGAGAAAACAAAAAGAGAATTACTTGGAAAGAACAAACAAAAAAACTGAGCAAACTAGAATACTATTTGGCCCTAAACAGAGAGTACACAGCGTCAGAATACCTGACCACTGTGACTGACCCACAATTAAGGAAAGCTTTGACTATGTACAGACTCAGTGAGCATAGCCTTGCTATTGAGAGAGGCCGCCGTAGGCAGACCTGGCTCTCAAGTGAAGACAGGCTATGTGCACACTGCCGACAAAATGAGGTGGAAACGGAGCTGCACTTCCTAACCTCCTGCCAAATGTATGACCATATTAGAGACACATATTTCCCTCAGATTACACAGACCCACAAAGAATTTGAAAGCAAATCCAATTTTGATAAACTCCCAGATCTATTGGGTGAAATACCACAGTGTGCATCACAGCAGCAAGATTTGTGACCTGTTGCCACAAGAAAAGGGCAACCAGTGAAGAACACACACCATTGTAAATACAACCCATATTTATGTTTATTTATTTTCCCTTTTGTACTTTAACTATTTGCACATCATTATAACACTGTATATAGAAATAATATGACATTTGAAATGTCTTTATTCCTTTGGAACTTTTGTGAGTGTAATAATTACTGTTCATTTTTTATAGTTTATTTCACTTTTGTTTATTATCTATTTCACTTGCTTTGGAAATGTAAACACGTTTCCCATGCCAATAAAGCCCTTTGAATTGACTGAGTGAGTGGTGGAGAGGGAGAGGGCAGCCGGCAGCTGATTCATGTGAGAGGAGACAGAGCATTACGCATGTCACTTTTTACCAGTTGTAGGTAGGCTA